ACACTAAGACAAAATGTAAACATTAAACCAAAGCATGTAATTACAAAGTGTGGTAAGAACCAAGCAGGAAAATTAAATAATGAAATAGAAAGGCATAATTTAGATTTTTCTGGCTGTTGAGAGTGGGTTGTCATGACAGAACTTTTTGAGGAAAAGAAAAATGACAGGGAGTTAGCCAGGTGGAGGGTACGTCTGTGTATAAGGAGGCCCAGGGTGGAGAAGAAGTTTCCAGCAAAGCAAACAGGAAGTGTTAAACCTCCAAGGCAACAAGACTTATCCAAGGAACTAAAGTACCCCAAGGCCACTATAAACTTTTTTTCTCCCATGTTGTCATTGAATGGGTTTACCTTAATTTATTTAACTATTCCCCTATGATGTATGTAAAGTCTTCCACACAAGGCAGTAAACATCTCTGAGCACAAAGCTTTTCTATTTTTAAAGTTCTTGCTGAGGATAAAGTTGCAGAAGTAGAACCACTAGGTGGAGGCTTTTGAACATTTAGGGCTCTTGGTCCATACTGTTAAATGGGTCTTGAAAAAGTGATTCCAACCTTCACTCCCACCAGCGGTCGCCTACGTGTCCCAGAGACTCACCAGCACATTGATGATCATGCTGTTCTCAACCGTGACAGCCTTCACAAGGAGCTTTTTGGACCCGTCCTTAGACTCATACCGGAGGACGTACAGGTCTTTATTACTGTTCCATTCAGCTGGCAGAAGTTCTGATTTCTTATCACTGGGACCTGGCTGAGAGGACACCAGGGTTGAGAGGGGAAAGATCATGACCTCAGATCACAGAACTATAAAGGAAATAACCAATAATCTAATCCCACCCCCTCACTTCACAGATGAAGATGTGAAGATCAAGAGAAATAAGATGCTCAAGGCCATATGTAACCCTGGGAGGGGGTGGGGAATAACTTCCCAGCTGGGAGTGGGGGTGGGTACAAATGACCTTTGAAGCCAAAAGGAGAAATAAAGTAGGAGAAACGCATTTATTGCTTACAAGCAGTTGCCCACTTTGGCTCTCGCCTGTGTCTCTCACAACTCAGCTGTAAAAAGGGACCCCAGCAAACCTCTCTGGTCCAACTATACCCTTGCTCCCACACCCTTGTAATCACCTACTGATGCAGGGATGCACTATTTCTCTCCACCCTTTGGAAACACCTACTGATATGGAGATGCACTAAGGCCAGGAGAGAGATTCTGGAAATACTGCAATTTTACCCACACCATACAGCAAGTCTGACCTGGACTCAGGTCTCTGGACTCCTGCTCTAGTGCTCCCTCTCTCATATGTGACTGCCAGCAAGACACAGTGCTGGAACCTGCCAAGAATCTGCAGCCTTGATTTAACAACAGTATCCTCTCCATGCCCTTTCCAAGAATAAGGCAAAGCATCCCACAGGATACTGTGAAATTCTAAGGCAGTGTTTTTCAAAGTTTGGAACTTGAGCCATCTGCAATATGATTAAAAGTACAAATCCTAATGTCTCCCCCCACCCCAGATTATTGCAATGGTTTAACAAAAATTATGAACAATTTTCACACACATAAAATGTAGCACATAGAGAAGATAGAAAAAGAATTGCAAAATGGACACCTCTGTATCTACCATCAGCTTGAGAAACAAAATATTGCCAATACCACTAAAGCCTTGAGCAGCATACACCCAGAGACTCCCCCTCCTTCTATCTCATGGGTAACCACTATTCTTCTGTACTTTTAAAATTTTCCTGACTTTTCCTTATAGTTATATTTCTATACATGCAACCCTAAAATAGTTTCAAATGTTTTTGAATTTTATGTACATGGTATCACTTTTATCTCTTTCTTTTTTCATTCGATAGTTTGAGATTCATCCATATCAATGCATTAAACTTCCGTTAATTCACTGTATAGCAATCCATTGCTATATAGAGTTCACAGCCAGATGGCAAATCATTGTATGAATATGCTGCATGTTACACATTCACTTGTTGAGGGATATTTGGAGAATGTATAATCTGTTTAGCTATTATAAACAATGCTGCAATAAACATTTTGGTACACATCTAGTACACATGTGGATGAATTTCTATAGAGAATGTCTGGAGAATAAATTTTGAGTCAGATTGTTTATAGAGGTACTGATTACTGTCTTATCAGCTATGTATGAGAGTTCTTGCATGACCACATGGTTACAATGCTGCTCTTGCCCAATTAAAAAATTTTTGCCAACCCAATGGGTGTAAAAACAAATTACTGTGAGTTGGGATGCCTTCCTTTCTTTTCTTTTTTATAATCCTAGGACCTTACTTTTATATACTAAAGTTTAAGAAATAGTTTTCAAACTATTTCTATAGTAAAAACAAACACAGTGATTTCCAGGTGGGGAAAGGTTTCCTAAACAAGATTCACAAAAGAAAAAATATGCATCTTTGAGAATGCTTATAATTTAAAGCTTCTGTTCAACAACAGACACTACAGAGTTAACAGGAGCCACAGACTAGGATGAGATATTTGCCATGGCTACAAATGAAAAGAATAACCGGCACATAATGGGAATGCCTGGAAAATGAAAAAAAAAATTGGGAACCCACCTGAAAAAGAAGATATGAATAAGCAAAAGATAAGACCTGCTAAAGCACTATTCAATTTTACTAACATTCAGAGAAGCACAGGCTTGAAATTATATACTGGACTACACCTATCTGACTGGTATTACCCATTTTTCTATTTTTTGCCAGTTTGCATGGGTTTGAGGGAGAATGGAAACCTCCAGGCACTGCTATTGGCCATTTACACTCATACATTCTTTTGGACAGCAATCTAGCAGTACGTAGTGCAATTGGGTGAGTTGATACCCCATGACTCAAAACCTGCACTCCTGAAGAAACCCCCTACACAGAGGCACAGGGGACACAACTAGTGATTTTTGTCACAACCATGTCAGGGATACCCAAAGTGAAATGCAAAACAGCTCACCATGGATTATTATACAACAGTTAGAAGGAACAAACTAGATCTAATTGTAGCATTATAGATAAAGTACAAACATGACAGAAAAGTTAGAAAAAAATGAGATTTATAGCTGGGTACTATTTATTAAAAAAAAAACAAAAAATCTATGTATTTTTTTCATGGATACATATTAATATAGCTAAACACAGAATAAGTGGACTGGAAAGATCTGTATTCATGAGAACATAGTGGGAGGGAGTGGGACCAAAGATGAAGGAAATGGCAACAGACAAAGGTCCAGCAACGCCAACCTCACACACACCAAGAACAATGGGAAGCCAAGAGTGCAAAAGTGCAGGCCTCTCTTCTTTGGTTACCCCTGGCACTCAGGAATCCAAGGAGGGAAGTGGTCCCGTGTAAAATTCAAGATGTTGCAACTGGCATAGTTTAAAACCTGGCTGGATGACAAGGAAACTCAGTTCTGAAGCAGAGAAATGAAAGTACAAAAAATAAAAGTGAAACTGTAAATTTCCTGTAACATGTTTAGTGTCATGGAATTTGTATTTTAGAAGCCAAGAATTTGATAACATGCCTTGTCTTTGTTCGGTGAGGGGCCTTTGAATACTTATTTATATCCTTCATGTACAACACTGGATCCACCAAAATTTTTTTCTTGGAATATAGATCATTCAGTCTGTTCCCTATCTCATAACCTCTGGCTTCCAAAGCCAGAGAGAATTCTGGGGCCAGATGAGGCTGATGCCTCTCACTGCAGTGGAACTGATGGTTCCCAGCCCCCAACGTCTGCCCTGATATGGGAGAAACAGATATGACTTACAGGGCTTTGCCCTGGTGATATCAGGCCAAACATGGCATTCAAGTGCCCTCTAGGGTCTGGCATCAAATATCAGGCCTCCCAGAAAGCTACAATTGGAAAGTAGCCAAAGTGCATGGCTGTGTAGTTTAACTGTCTTAGATGAAAAATCTAAGGGCTGAGAGGGGCTGAGAATTGCCCAAGGTCACAGTCAGTCAGATGCAGAGTTAGGTTTGGCATTCAGAGCTCCTGGTTGCCCAGGCTATTAGCTGGAGACACCCCTCCCCATCCAGCAAGGTCCACCAGACTGGACCTTGTAAAGGCAGTTGTCCTCTTTGGCAAAATCCTGGGGCTGGAAGCATCATGCAGTGGCCAAGACTTAACACCAGTGCTTCTGGGCTACAATGCACCTAAAGAAACTCAAACAGATCATTTTGGACAATTTCTCTTAGGTGACAATCTTAGATTCCTACAAGAGAAAACAAAACTCTCTAACTTGTCTATGGTCATCTCTATGCCCCTGCCACCTTAACCACTTGACACAGCTCTGAAGCTCTTAGGAGGAGGGAGTAGTGCTGACCTCAAGAAAGAAATCCAATTCAAATACTAGATTTTTATTGAAGCCAATGGCTATATTACTCTTCTAATCAGATTTTACATGCATGATTCTCCTGTACCAGAGGAGAAAAACAAAGAGAAAAGTGGGTAATTTAGCTTTCTATTTAATTGTCACTATATTATAAGTGCACACTTTTAAGACCTTCCTCTCTCATCACCCAGAAAGGTGGGGAGCAGAAGGTGGCTGGAGAGCTTGGCAAACACTACTGGTCTCAGCTGAGGCTGCTGGTCCCAGGCCAGAAAATTAAACCCTCTCTTAAGTAAACTAATAGGAAAGATGCCTCTCCAAATGGCTTTTACTCTGAAAGTCACCTTAGCAGAAGTGAGAAGTGCAACTTGAGCTCCAGTGGCACTTAAGAGAAGGTCAGAGAGAAGCAAAATCACACTCCAGTATACAATACAAACGCCCATCCCCTCAGAGGACATGCACCCTTTAGCACTGGGACAGACAGATGCAGAGTGGGCAATGCCTTTCAAAACCCTCATCCCCACCACCCCTGGTCTCCCCTAAGATGTCTAGAGCCAGCATCTTTTTCTGGCCTGCATGAATTCAACACATGGCACCAGGGACAGAGTGGAATTAGATGGACCTTTGGGAATCAGTCAAGAATTTCTTTTTTAAACCAGTATTAAAATAAGGTCATATTCTTTCTGCACATTTCACCAGAAAATTCTGGGGCTTAGAGTGTAAGGCAAGGGGATGATGCTGGCTGGAAGGAGGCAATGACCTATATGAACTGAGTCCCTAACTAGTCAAAGTGACTGAGAGTTGCTGATAGGATGTGTAAGGGGACAGGCGGTGGAAGCAGACCTGCAGTATTGATATGTATCTGTGAAATGGAGAAAAAAGAAAGTCACGCAGACCTCTGTAACAAGTTCCTGTTCCAGGGAGAGAAGCTCTGACAGTGTGTTAGAGTGGAAGTTGCTACCTGGGAATAAATAAGATGAGGTACACTAAGAGGGGCAGAGAGCAGGGCAGACCTGTTACATCTGAAGACAGAGTATGAGGAGGGGGTTCTGAGCTGATGGGGAGCCCTGAGGTCAGGACCCAGTCATACTCCTCTCTCCAACCCCATGCCCACCTACACTATCCTACACACCAGCTTTCTGGAGAATTTCCCAGGAAAAGTTGAAATGAATTGACTGGGGCAAGTGAAAGAGCTATTAAAGATCAGAAAGTTGGAGAGGGGCAAGTGAGGAGACTATTGGGTTCCGCTGGGGCAACTCTGCACTGCAAGAGGAAGCCTGACACCCTGAGCAGGGGTTGCCTCTACCTGGTCCCAAGTCTGAAATGCTAGAAGGCAAAGTAAATGGAATGAAGCACAGGGTGGGAAGAAAGGCCAGGACTGGGAGGAAGAAACGGTTCCTGCTGTCCAAACTGTGTGTGTGAAAGGCTGGCCCTTCTTTTCTAGCGTTACCTCCAGTCCTACAGTCTACATGAGGAATGAAGTATGAGAGCCTGCAGGTAGGGATGAGGGATGCCAAACGTGCATCTGGGGTTCAAGTGAGATACCTGAGGTCTGGCGGGGCAGAAAAGAGACAGAAATCCATGTTCTTGTGTTTCTGAGTCCTATTAGTGGGAATAAAGTGTGGGGGGTGTAGTGGTCTTGGTCACTACTTCTAAGGGCCAGAGAATGAAGCAGCCCGGGAGAGTGGAGATACCTCGCCCTAAGAGCTCAGGATGTGTAAACTGTGTTTAAAGAGGGATCTCTAAAGCTCTGTGTCAGGAGAGGAAAAATGAAGACCTGGACGTATATATGTGAAAAACTAAAAACTATATAAAAAAACTAAAAAGTAAAACTAAAACTAGGGAGTTTGAGAACTAAAGTTGTTAGTAATGAGAGTAAAGTTAAAATCTCACTGTAAAATACAAGGGGCGAGGTGCCCTGCTCCCCAGAACTGGTCTAGGTTCTGAGAGTGACAGCAAGGGACGGCTCCAGCCTTGAGTGTGTGTATATGGGGAGCATGACTGGGTGGCTAATTTCTCTGATTAAGTAGAAGAGAAATGAAGGAAGCTAATATGTAGGATAAAGTGCAGTGTGAGAGTCACAGGAAAGAGGCAGGGAAGATGCAAGAATGCTATAGCAAACAATTAATGAGGTAGCCTGGGTCCAGCAGTCCTGGGGCTCTGTGGGGATGCCAGGCCCCCAGTGTACGTAAGAGGCAGAGCCTGAGGATTGGAAAGCACGAGGGGCTGTTCGTATAGGTACAGCTGTGGAGGAGGAAACCTTACCGTGCTCCCACACCCAAATTGTATGTGTGCACGTGTGGGAGGTGGTTAGCACGAGGGGCTGTTCGTATAGGTACAGCTGTGGAGGAGGAAACCTTACCGTGCTCCCACACCCAAATTGTATGTGTGCACGTGTGGGAGGTGGTTGTTTCCTGGAGTGTGAGCTGGGGACGACAGCGTCAGTGAGCTGCACCGGGCCCTTCAGTAAAGTGTGAAGAGCGTGTGAGCTCTCTGGGTCCATGCTGAGGAGTGAAGAAAGGGCCCTTGACTGGCGCTGAGTGGGTCGAAGCTCACCCCTAAAATCGCGCTCGCATTCAGATATCTGGTGGTTTGAGCACTGTGAGGGCAGTAATGGGTACAGCACCTTCCAACCCCAGCTGTGCGGGAAGCAGTTTAGTGGAGTTCAGGTAAGTAAGGAGTGCCCAGAGGAACTGCACACATTTCGTTGCCTGGTCCACAAAATCCTGGTCTGGGAGAATGTGCTGGAGTGAGTTTCTATCTTTGGGTTTTCGAATTGTGTTGTGCCAGCGGTGCTGTGAGGGGTTCTGGGCTGGACTGGGGCAGCAGAGCACCTCCCTCAGACTATAGCAATTAATGTCATGGGCCCCAGGGCCCGGACTCGGAAGGGGTATGGTCGGGCGCTCTGGGCCAGGCCTGCGGTCCTCCGGTTTTGGGCCGAACAAACCTTATCCTTCCACCCCGGCCCCTGCCGGCTCCGTGGCGTACCTGGTCGCTGGCACCCAAGCCGTAGTAGCCGTGTGTCACCACCTCCCAGTGCAGGAAGCAGACGAGCGCGTCCTGCGCGCAGGTGATGGTTGGCGCCACGGCCGCGAATAGTACCTCCAGGCCAGCCATGCGCGCCCCCGGCTTCTGCGGGCAGAGGAATCAAGGCGGAGTGTGCGATGAGCCGACTCGGCTCTCCGACTACTAACGACTACGCTCCGCTACTCCGCACAGCCTGGCTGCGTCTCCAGAGGCGGCCAAAATGGAGACACCCGCTGGTGGAGGAGCGACCACCGGAAATAGCTCCGAGCGCTGGCATAGTCGTGCCAGTGGGCCGGCTGGAAACTGGAGCGTCACCCTTAAAGGTTCCGCCAGGCTGCAAGTGGGCGGGGCAGGGGGCAGGGCCGGGGCCCCGGGAGCGCGGCCAAAACTGGGATCCACATCTACCCCGGTAGCTGGTAGGGTGTTGGGTCCTCAAGCTCTGAACCACAGACTTCCCATCCGCAGTAGGGGGGTGGGCTTATGCTTGTAGGGGAAGAGGTTATGAAATACGGCTAAAATATATTCATAACAATAGTTGGCACTTAAACGCAGTGTTCGCTACCTGCCATTATTCTAAATGCTTTACTTGTATTCATTCATTTAATTCTCATGACCCAACCCTATAAAGTTGGTATTAATGATAGCCCCGTTTTACAGATGGCTAAACAAGGCACAATGGGGTAAACTGGACCAAAATGATACAGCCAGCCAATGAGTGGCAGAAATGGTATTGGAACCTAACTAGCAATCTCGCTCCTAGGATACCATTTATTAAATATTTTTGTGTGGTAGGTCCTGTGCCAAAACCTTTACATCACCCTATCAACAACTCCGTGAAGTATATTCCATTATCATCGCCATTTAGCCTATGACAAAAAACTCAGAGAACTGAAGCCATTTCTCCCAAGAAGGTACTGGCTGCCGACCACAGAACTGGAGCTCTAATCCACTACCAAATTTCAATTATTTATTTGCCTGAGTCCTTCATGATTTTTACCACTATTATTTTTTCAACAAGTTTCTTGAAATCCCCTTACAATTTTTACTCAAATAAAATTAGTTTTCCCAACCCAGTCAGCACACTGCTGAAAGCCACCATCATCTCTCACTTGGATCTGCACCAGCCTCTGGACTGAACCTACTCTCTCTCTGTCTCTGTCTCTCTAAAGTCTGTTCTGCACTCTGCAACTAGAGATTCTGTTAGTACACATTGCCTCCTAACACAGATCACAGCCATCCACTGCTCAAAACCCTCTCAGGCTCCCATCACATTCAAAGGCAAAGTAAAATCCTCCCCATGGTTGATAGGAACTGCATATGGTCTGCACCCACCTCCCCTCCCCTTATTCTCTCTGATATCATCCCTTGCAACTCTTCCCTCATCCCCTGCACTCTTGGCTGCAATAACCATGACTCCCCCCTTCTCTCACACCCACACCTAATCCAACAGCAAAGCCAGCCAACTTTACCTTCAAAATATATTCTAAATCTGACCACTTCCTACTACCTCCACTGCCTCCACCCTGGTCTGATCCTCTCACATAGCATGCTTGGACCATTGCAGTAGTTTCCTGACCTGTCTCCCACATGTTCTGTTCTCCAGGTCTTTGCATGTACTGCTGTCTCTGCCTGGAATGCTCTTTCCCTAAACATCTTCATGGTTTGTGCCTTTATTTTAAGTGACTCTTTCCCTCACCTCCTACCAGCCTCAGCAGAGGGCTTCCCCGATATGCCATCCAAAATAACCTCCTCCACTCTTTAACCTCTTACCCTGTTTCTTTCCTGCAAAGCATTAATCATAATCTGACACGGTATTAGGTGTTTGCTTGTTTGTTTAATGACTGTCTTCTCACTAGATTGTGACAAACAACCATGGCTCTCTTGTGCACAGGTATACCTGAGGGCCTTCCTGACTCGATATATACTTATTGAATGATTGAGTGAATGAATGAATGTTGAATGAGTGATTGGAGTAAGCTTAACCCATTTGGGCCAATATAACCCCTTCACAATCTATCACTCACTTTATTAGCTGGTCCTGTACCTCTCCAAATTTTGTGTTCCTGAGGTTCCCCTGGGATGCCCACACTCTTGTACCACCATCTGCACAGATTCTAGCTGAGCAGGTCTGAGATGGAATGCCATTATGTTGACCACACTCTGGGTGATGCTAAAGCTGGTAGCCACAGAACTCCTGAGATACTGCCTGTGGTATAAAGCTATTTGCCCTGCCCACCAAAAAGCTCTGCACTTTTGGCATCCCTGCTTTTTCTTGCTCTGTCACTTCTGCTGGTAATGTCCTTCCATAGTTATTGAAAATTCCACCAGTTCATTCGTTTGTTTGTTCATTCATTCATTCATTCAATCATTCACTAAACCTTCATCAGCTGTGTTGCCATGGATGGTAATGCAGGCTGTGCACTGCACAACAATGCCTGCTCAGTGGCAGCCCCATTCCCAAGTGGTGCCTGCTGTGAGCCAGGACCAGATAAACAAGCTGTAGTTTCTGCTGCTGTGGAACTCACTGTCTACTGGTTAAAAAAATTATAGACAAAGGTATGAAAACTGTTATGACAGAGGAGCACTTGGAAGTCTGTGCAAGCCCAGAGGGGGCATCTAATTCAGGCTAAGGGTCAGGGAGAGCTTCTTAGAGAAAGAGATGGCCGACTGCACTGAACCTTAATGAAAGATTGGGGATGAACTTTGGACCAAAGGTGTTCCAATAAAAGACAGTGGCATATACAAAGGCATGGAGGTGTGAGATGCAGCTGGTATTGTGTGATTAGAGGGCCAACGCTGCCTTCTGAGTGAGGCCTTCCTGCATCTCCTCTGCCTACAGTTAGTTTTTTTCTCCTCAGTGCAGATGGCACCAGTGAGGTGTCAAGGGGTGGGCAAGGGACAACAAGAGTTATCAGCCTCACAGGGGAGGAGAATTTTATCATTGACATTGATTAGAATGGCTGGTTCATGGTGATAATAAAAAAAGCAGACTGCCTTTTGGTCAGTATTATTACTGCTTTTAGCTTTTTATGGACGATGCACCCCCTCATTCCTGCACCTGGGCAGTCTCCCCCATCCCCTGCACATCACTCAGCCACTGCTTTGCATACAATTGATTACAGCTCAAATTTCACAGAACTTTGGCTCTCTGCTGTACATCGCCATCCCTGTGTTAGCCTGGGTTCCCTCAGAAGCCAAGGCAACAAGGATTTGAGGAGGGGGGTTTGGAGCTGATCCCAGGAAATGGCAATAAGGGAGTGGAGAAGTGAGACTGGAGAGGGAAGGCAGCCAGAGGGTGTCCCGTGATCACACCTGTTACCTCTGGTCCCTGGAGCTTGGTCTTGTCCAGCAACTCTGGGAGACACATGTCTCCAGAGTTGTCCCAATAGAGGATTAGGGAATTGGGGGTGCTTTTTACTCACTTCCTGGTTGAAAGCAGCCTCTGGGGGGCATGAAAAGCCTTCAGGCAGAGAATTGCAGAGTTTAGAGAAAGTTAGGGAGTGAGTTGGGCACCCAGCCATCTGCCATCCCCTGTCCCACACACACACTAAGGGCGAGCCACACCTTTGCAAGTATGTGGCCCAGTGGCCAGGATGTGTATTGAAAGAATGAGGTGAAATCTGTTTCACTAGGAGGTGAGTTCCCTGAGAGCAAGTACTGTGTTCCATCCACCCTGGACCCCAAGGTCCTCCATGGATGGGAACAAGTGGGAGGGTCCCCAGGGCTGGAGGTTGTCTGTGTCCTGCCTCTGGTCCATCCAGGACTTTCTGTGGATTTACGTCCATCAACAAGAGTCTCAGTTGTCCTATGAGGCCTGTGATTGGCTGAGAAGAGATGAAGGTGGAAGGTCTCTTCCCAGCTGGGCCCCCACTACTAGGGCAGTGCAAAGCCCATGCCAGAGATGGGGGCCCAGGATGATGAAAAGAACATGGCAGGGGCTACAGCTGCTGGTTCTTGGTTGCCAAGTGACAGGAATGTGGGTGTTCTAAGCTCCCTGGAAACTGTCTACCTGGAAACTATGAAGAGATGAGCTGAGGAGCAGGGCCCAAATGGGCACTGAGGTGGAATTGTTCACCACTGGAGTCTTTCTTTTGCAACTAGAAGTTGCAAAAAACTGGAGTTTTTGCTTTTTTTGGCCTACCATCAGCCTAATCACTTCACCTCCTCCAAGAAGCCCCACATGATTAATACTGTTCAATACTAATCAAACCCAAGACTTCCCATTTCCCTTGTCAGTCATGTGTATAGCATATGTGACACCTGGAAGAGATAAATTTTTAAATATATATATAATTTTAATATAACTATATTAGTTTTTTAAAAGATTCTTTTATTGTAGCAAAATACATGTAACATAAAATCTGTCTTTAACAATTTTAAGATCTACAGTCCAGTGGTATTAGGTACATTTGTATTACTGTGCAACCCTCACCATCATCCATCTTCAGAACTCTTTCCATATTGCAAAATTGAAACCCTGTACCCCATTCCCCCTTTCTCCCAGTTGATGGCAACCACCATTCTACTTTCTATCTCTAAGGATTTGACTAATTTAGCCACCTCATTTAAATGGAATCATGTAGTAAACTGGCTTATTTCACAGCATAATGTCTTCAAGTTTCACTGTTCATGGGAAACTGGCTTATTTCACAGCATAATGTCATCTAGTTTCATCCACATTGTAGCATGTGTCCAAATTTTTTTCTTTTTTATGGCTCAGTAATATTCTGTTGCACCTATCTATCCACATTACCTATCTAGCCACACAATCTAGATTGGTCTGAATCTGTTGATCACATTTTGCTTATCTACTCATCTGTTGGTGGACACTTGGGTTGCTTCCACCTTTCGGCTATGAACATAATGTACAAATATCTCTTCAAGACTCTGATTTCAATTCTTTTGGATATATGCCCGGAAGTAAATATCTGAATTAATGGTAATTCTAATTTTAGTTTTTAGGGGAATTGCCACAGTGTTTTCCACAGCAGCTGTACCATTTTACACTCTCACCAATAGTGCACAAGGTTCCAATTTCTCCAACTCCTTTCTAACACTTGTTATTTTCTGTTTTTGTTTTTGTTTTTTTTGATGGTGGCTGTCCTGATGGGTATGAGGTGGTATCTTAGTTTGGTTTGGTTTTGAACACCTTTTTCCTGTGTTTTGGTCATTTGTATATCTTCTCTGAAGAAATGTCTATTAAAGTCCTTTGCCCATTTTTTCAATTAGGTTGCTTTTTAAACAGGCATTATTTTTTTTTTTGAAAGGGCAT